AACTGAAAAAATAGTACACCAAATAATGCTAAGAAACACATTTCTATTTTAAAATAGTTATTGATTAAAGTTTTAAAACTATTTATTTTACTTCTTACAATTATTTGGTCTCTGTCTATTTTTTAATCAACTGTACGAAAATTATAAAAAACAAATCCAACCCATTATTTTATTTATAAATTCATAAATATAATCAAATTTTTAAAATTTAGTTCTTATTTTTAAGTTATAAAGATAAAAATATTTAACCAAAAACTCCAAGAAAAGATAAGTTGTTTCTGTTTTTCAAATTAACCATTGTTGTTTTGCAATGAAAACAAAAAATGTGTATTTTTAAAGTGATTATATTATAGTATATTATTATATAAAATTTTTATAACAAGAATTAAATTAAAAATAAATTCTGAATCAGATTATGAAAAAAACAACATTTAATGGGTTGACATTTCTAAAACAATTATTTATTATTAATGATTTTTTGATGCATAGTACCAAATAAAATGTCAAATGAGATGTTATACCAACTGTTAGAAACCGTTAATTTTATCTACAGTTACAAGGTTTTTTATAATTAAATGATATTCATTTCTTTAACAAACCATATGAAAAATCTATATTATTTTTTGAAAAATAATAACATCACAATTTAAAAAAAATATGAAAAAATGCTTTATATAACATGTAAAAATGATTATAATTCACCATAAAAATACATTAAAAAGGATTGTTTTTATTTTAAACATCTTTTATAAAAAACATTCAATATCGAAACAATTTTTGTCTAAAATAGAAAGATAAGTTTTTATATGAAATTGTCACTCAAAAATCATTTTATAAGAATGGTGCTTTTCATATCGATAATTCTCAATTTTCTGTTCATTGTAATAGCTTCTTCCAATTCTTTGTCTTCTTTTGATGACTTTGATTTGTTGGATAACTTAATATCAACAACAGACATTGATTCAGATGATGTGGCTTTGTCTTCTTTTATTGAACTTTTTGACTATCACGACGACGACTTTGAGCTTTCTGATTGGGGAATATCATTATCTGGTGCTTGGGATAGTTTAAAAGAAGGCGTTTCTTCTGGAATCAATAAAGTTGCTAATGTGGCTTCTGATGTAAAAGACGCTGTTGTTGATACTGCTGTGAAAACATATGACAAAGGTAAGGAAATAGCCAAAGATGCGATCAAAACAGGTGCGAAAGTACTTGACAAAGGTGTCAAATATGCCAAAGAAAAATACGAAACGGTGAAAACAGACGCTGTAAACTTAGCCAAAGCGACATAGAAGAACAAA